TCTAATAGTATGTTACATGTTTAGTCTAATAGTTACAAAGTTTAATTTATAATTTAAGTTGATCAAACATACTTTTTATCTACATATTTTACAGAATTCAAATTTATTATCCACATATTTCATGAGATCGACAATTTTGAACTCCATCAATTATCGTCTTAATCTAAAAGCTGCCAAGTTTAGAATTTAACCTATGTTTGATGATCATTATTGTGTCAAAATAATATTTTGAATAGTAATTTTTTGAAAAACATGTGATTAAAAAGTGAGAAAAAAATTTGATTTACGTGCAAAATATTTTGTCCCTGTTTGACAACAATTATTTGGGAAAAACGATATTTTGAATAACGAATTTTAAGAAACCGTGTGGTTAAAAAATGGAGAAAAGATTTGGATCTACGTGCAAAATATTTTATTGTGTGAATTTGTTGTTAAAAATGATTTAAGTAGAAAAAAGAGTTGATCAAACATAATTTTTTATCTACATATTTTACAGAATTCAAATTTATTATCCAAATATTTCTAAGATCAACAACTTTGAACTCTATCATTCATCGTCTTAATCTAAAAGCTGCCAAGTTTAGAATTTAGCCCATGTTGGATAATTATTATTGTGTAAAAATAATATTTTGAATAGTAATTTGGAAAATGTGTGGTTAAAAAGTGAGAAAAAGTTTTGGTTCTACGTGTAAAATATTTTATTGTAGTTGAAAATGATTACATTACAAATAAATTTTTCAAATAATGATTGTTAAATATGGAATTTGTTGTGTGAATGTGTAATTGAAAATAAGTATGAAAAATAAATTATTTTATTTTAAAAGTAGATAATAAGACGTATTTAGTCTAGTTTATGCCATTTGTTCACTCATTTATTATACAAATGTTAACATTTACATTGTTATCAACAAATGATTAGTTGAAAAAACTAATTTTTTCTTTAAACGGTCCAATTAAATAATGTCCAAATGGTAAACACTACATTGTAGTGTACACCAAGCATGTTTGAAAGTCTCCCTTGGATGGACAAACTTTCTTCTCTATCATAATTGTGGAAGAAAAACATATCTTGCATTTTCAAATTGTGTATCTTACTTCAACTTTTAAAAGTTGTCGTACGTCCAATCAATTTTGCTTTACAAATTCAGTTCTACTACGTGTACAAAAAATGGTTGTCAAAATTTTACCAGAATATACTTGACAATTTTCTATTGAAAAATGACAAAAAAAAAAAAAACATACAATATCTTGAAATTCTAGCAGCAAGTCCTCTGTGGCTCCCCCCACAGAGGAATTGCTGTTACAAATTAGGCATCAAATATACATCAGAACGTGAAACATGCGGAGAGCGCAGGTTGGCTTGTAAATATTTCCTCCTCATAAATTATTAGTTGTAATGATGTCATTAGTCAACGTTATGATTTTGTTTTTGAAATGTTTTGATTTTCATGTGCCCAATTGGACAAAATATATTCATAACAAACTAATTTTAACTTATTTACTCGCGCCTTTTTTAACTTGTTTATCTTTTTGAGTTAATTCTAAAGAGATTTTAACTAATTAAAGCATCTAAATATAAAATGGACAATTCTTGTGGTACATTATGGGATCCATAAGAGTCAACATAATGGACACTTTGCGGCCTACAATTGGTTGGAGTGCAGGTCCCATAGGCACTCCCACCAACTGCAGGCCGCAATATGTCCATTATGGATCCCTTTATGGANTTTGCGACCTACAATTGGGTGGAGTGCCAGTCCCACAGGCACGCCCACCCACCAATTGTAGGTCGCAATGTGGCCAGTATGGATCCCTTTATGGATCCCATAATGTACCACAAGAATTTTCCATATAAAATACTCTGTATTTTAAAAGATCAATGTTTAAAAATAAGTTCCAATAGACTATTTATTTTAACTTTTAAAATAAATAGTCCATTGACTCTTCAAATTTGGAGAGTCAAACTCACTCTCTATTCTTAACAATGATTTCATTTAATAAGTTACAAATTTAAATACTCTACAATTTAAATTATTCAAATCGCATTTAAAAAAATTATCTTAAATAAGAGATAAGGAAATATCATTAAATATTCATTGGAAAAATAAAAAGCATAGTTAAAATGCTCACCTTACTCTATTCTCATACTCGGTTAAAACGAAGCGGGGCGGGACAGGTCCCTTGCCCCATTTATTTTTTCTTTTTTTTTATTTATTTTATTTCTTACTTTTTTAAAAATGTTTCTAGTTAGTAAATATTATTATTTTTTTCAATTTGTTAATAACAACTTATATTCTCTTTAAAATTGACGATAAATCTTTTATTTTTGTTTTATAAAAAATTTAAATTTAACTTTAAATGGGGTGAGTAGCGAGGTGAGGACTATACGCCTCGTACCCACTTCTAGACAATGACACTCACTCAATTTACTCGATTAGGCAAGTAACTTCAGTCTCATTCGTGGCGGGACCTCACGGGTATCGGGTTGAATGAATTTGTTTTTGCCATTCCTATTCTATATTTAAAAATGTTTTCTATTATATTATGTATAAGATGCACTTTGTAAATAAATATTCTCTTGAAAATGTTCTTAGACTCGAACCAATATTGAATAGTTAAAAAGACTCGAACTAATACTTGACAGCCCCATGAAATACCTAAATCAATGTTATATCTTTTAAGACAACAATAAACTTCATGTTTATATTCTTTTGAAATAGAACTCTTTAATTTTCATATTCATTTTCAATTACACATTTACAAAATAAAATATTTTGCGTGTGAACCCAAATTTTTTTACTACTTTTAACTACACATTTCAAAAAAAAATCACTATTTAAAACTCAATTTTCAAATTAAAGTCCATCAAACATGGGTCTTCTATGTTTCTAATAAAACTTATATTTCTAATATTATTAGTACATACAATATCAAACGCAAGAGATATTCCTCTTGTATAGTGAAATAACTGCCAGAGTTTCAACAGGTGCTGCCATAGGGTGGCTTTTTTTTTTTTTGCTAATTCTCAGTCAAAAACTACCAACTTTTCCCTATAAAAAGGCCACCAGCTCTTTCTCTGTACACCTAGCAGGGCTCTAGAAATAATTAACTCAACAAACTTTAGTCCCTATTTGGTGAGCATTTTTTTTTTCAAAAATAAAAAAAAAATGTTTGAATAGTGTTTTAGGAGAATGTGTTAGGGGTGTAAGCGGTCCGATTTTTACTGTTTTTGACAAATTTTCAAACCAAACCGTTTTGACCGTTTTGAGAAAAACTCAAACCTAAACCAAACCGTTTTGACCGGTTTGAAAAAAACTCAAACCTAAACCTAACGGTTTGGTCCGGTTTTAAACCGTCGGTTTCGCCTATATTTTTTTTTTCATGTCTAGTATCTAC